ACCCAAAGATGCCAAAAATGTCGCCGACTTTAGACTATAGATACTCATTAAATCAGATAAATGAGACGGCTTGCTTGAAATCGACAGACAAGAAGTTTCTTTTTAGGCATAAACATTTTATTTCAGTTATTTGCAACAAACCGCTCATTACAAACTCATTTCTATTTTTAAAAATCTTTAAACTACTGTTCTAATCACAGTATTGCTATAAACTGAGGTGTTGCCACTCTTCCTCAAACAAAGTATTAACTGAGGCAATTTACTTACCATAAGTGGCGCAACATGTACTGTTGAGTAATCTATTGAAATATGGTAGTCTTTACCCAAGAATTTTAAACCCAGTATTTGTGCCTCTTATAAGTCTTCAGCTTAAACCTTCCAATACTGTTAATATACTATGAAGTGCTAAAACATTTCATCAAATGAAAATTAAAATCCATCATCATTTGTTATTTAAAAGAATTGAGAAATCTTCTTGAAAAACCAACTGCATCTGTTACCTCTGATGCCAAAATATTTGCCTCCTGTATAAAAATATTCTAAATTTTCTCAGGTATTTGTTTTCTTTCTAAATCCATTAAGAATTGGTTAGAGCTTAAAAGTTACTTAAGTACTTTTCTGTTTTGCCGGCGCAAGCTATAATGGTACAACTGATGCCAAACAGAATATCTTCGCTGATAACCTTTTACGCCTCATTTTCAAAGCAAGTCACAGCCATTTCTTATCAGATAGATTGTTTCTTTCAATACTGGCATAAAATTACATAGAATATTTACAAAGATAATTAAATTTTATGAACCGTTTGTGGAAATTAAGTCAATTAGGATGCAATCACACCATTCACCTGAAGGCAAAAATATAGAAAATGCAAAATCAAGGGTTAAATTCATCAATTTTAATGAGAATGCACTAGTGAAGTTTTACATAAGTTACTACGGTTTTACATAATTTCCGAGTAAGCTATTCATTCTTGCATTTTAAACTTGTATTCCAAATTAAGATTTAACTTGAAATTAATGTAGATAATTAATGAGAGAATTATATTTTTGTAGCGTAGTTTATGTGAGATGAGATCACTTGGTGTCATGTGATACGAACCAGCGACTCAGGATGTTGAAGCATGAAAGCATAGTAAATTCTTAAATTAATGTCTTTTTACAAAATTATAAACCATATTAAAATGTTTATTCCTTCAAAATAAAAAATTCTTAGAACTAACATTTTTTATGTGTGTACTGTATGTTGTCGCCAACAAAGTCTGCTTGACGAGATTTGCGCCGACAAAACAGAAAAGTACCATTATTTATACAAATTCTAGAATAATCATTTTGAGCCTGGTTATTAAAATAAATACTGATTTGAATTTAGTGTAATTAATTCTGCATTACAGTGAACCCAGTTTGTCCAAATAGATAGTTCATTATTCACATTTGGATTATGCCTGAGAATTTTTGTGTTTTATACTTTTTGGTTCACGATTCTTGAAGAAAATTCCACGGACAGGTTATGATTTCCAAAACCTATTTTTTTAACCAAATTTATAACAGCTTTCTAATGTAGGAATAATATAAATATTTAAAACTATATATCAGAAAGATATCAAAGGATTTTTGAACTGAATCTCAGTTGGCAGTATGAAGCTAAATATTTTTGATGCAGTGAGTTTTAAGTGATTCATCATGGAAAGAAGTGACATTAAACATGATAAAAAATGGCTTTAAAAAAAGCAGATAAAAAATGCAAATGATTACAGTCTGGTCCACTCAGACAAAACTCTGGAGACACTGTTGAAAAAGGAACTGAAATGTCACAGATTATTTATGTATACTGAAAAATTATATTAATTAAAAAAAAAAAGAAAATGTGCTGTCAGTAATTGAAACAAATATTTCTGTTTTTTCGGTAGAAATAAAGCTTAAGTAAAAATAAAAATTAAAAAAAAAAAAAAAAAAACTGAAACAACTCGAAGTTTATGTATTTTCATTTTGCATGACCTTTATGCCTCATTTTCCTTCTCCTTCCTTAAAACAGGTCTTTAAATTTTCAAGAATTTCTAAAAGTAATATCCTTGATATCCTTTTTTTCCAAAAGTAATTCTTTTCCAAACTAATCTGAAAACAAAATAATTTTTTTTGGATATGAACTTCTGCAGCTTAAGCATTTTCATGTATATATATGTGTACTGATTGATGTTCATTGTCATAAATTCTTATTAGGTACATGAACTCATTCACATTGAACTCTGATTGAGTGAAAGAGGATCCTAAGTTCAGTCGAGTTTTGTTTTTTATTACATTATGTAATAATGAGCTTGGGTAAAATGTTTACTAAAGAATATCTGTTCGTCTAAATGCATTGTGGAAAGGCTAGGCAAGTATAGGAGTTTCCAATCCTGAATATTATCTCTTTTGGGTGCAATGAGATCTATTCATCCTTCACCCGTCATTAAGTGCATTGAATCTTAAGTGGATATCATAACTGATCAAGTACATACTTTTATAGTGAGTGTGTGCTCTTCTGAAGTTTCAACTAATATTCTATGTCACGCTGTGAAGACAGCATAGAAATGGTACCAAGGACATGATAAAATATTCCTGTTGCGTACATGGTCTCCGAAACATGAGTCTTTGTGAGCTTGTAGAGTCATTAGGTTAATTGGAAGCAGAAAAGATGAAAAATATGCAACCGCCTTCGACGGGAATCGAAACACGGACCTCTGGAATACCGGCCCAGCGTGCTACCGCTACACCACGAAGGCATGCTAGGGAAGTGGGAGAAATACCTTATATACTCCCCTTTTTAAAGGGCGACTAGGGTTTTAGGGGACCTAGTCGCCAAATCCTGGGTGCGGAGAATAATCATCCACAACCCTTTTTAGTTCGGGCACCACCTATAGTAGTCATTAGGTTAATTGGAAGCAGAAAAGATGAAAAATATGCAACCGCCTTCGCCGGGAATCGAACCATGGACCTCTGGAACACCGGCCCAGCGTGCTACCGCTACACCACGAAGGCACACTAGGGAAGTGGGAGAAATACCTTATAAGCTTGTGTGGTGTGAGTTAATGAATTGTTTGTAAATGCTATCCTTTGAGTTGCATATTTATAGTAACTGAAAGATCCTTTGTTGCATTCTCACTATCGGATATCAAATGGTGCCTACCAGCATCATACAGATGTCTCTGGTGAGAACTATTTTGGTGGAAAAGGATGACAAGATGATTTTTTGCAAATGGTTAGTATGTTTTAATGGTTAATGTATATTGTAATCTTAATGTACTACAGTCAAAAGTCTTTAATCCGGACGTCCATAATCCGGAATGATCTATAATCGGAACCTCAAAGCTACAAACTTTCTGCGCATGCGCATAATACGTTTACGCATGCGCGTTTAATGTATAACGGACAGTATAAGCTAAGCTAAAATTATCTAATTATCTAGTTCAGCTAATGTTGCAGATTTGTGTTGTTCCTTAATCTTCAAATTGGATCTGGTTTGTTTTTTGCAGACTATTAGAGCAATTTTATAAAAGTAAGCTTGAACTTTCGATTATGACAAAAAGAATTTCCGATTCTGGAGCTGCCAAAGGATCTACAAAGCGAAAGCATGTTTCGATGTTGATCAAACAAAAAGTGGAATTGCTCCAAAAACTGGATAAAGGCATATCCTTTCTTTCTCTAACCATTCCGAAATCTGTTTATCAATTTCATGCTGCTCTGCGGGGGGGGGGGGGACACCGCGGCGTGCAATGAACTGGAAATTGATCTGTCAGCACTATTCTTATCTTCAGGCAGATGTTTTTCTTTTATTCGGCTTTTAATTCCTTACTAAATGTAGTATTTCATCTTGATGTACTTCGTCTTTGATATGATTTAAATCAAATTCCTCGTCATTATAAATATTATGAATACACATCAAATAGTTTTCTGGTTGCAATTTTCTAATTTAAACTATGCGTAATGTATGCTTTACGCATGCGTGCGTTGAAAGAAATGTTTAATAAAGTAAACAAATAAATATTAAGCTTTTTTTTTTTTTTTTTTTTTGTAAATTTTGATACTCTTTAGATCATAATTGCTCTTTATTTCATAAATTATGGTTTCATATTTTTAATTTTATAATTTCTGCATGGCAGCTTACCAGATTTAAATTGATGATCTATAATCCGGAAAAACCGATAATCTGGAATCGCTGAAGTCCCGACGAGTCCGGATTAAAGACTTTTGACTGTATTAAATTATATGAATAATATAGTTAAAATTTTAACTGTTTTTATGGTACATGCAAGCCTATTAAAATAGGCTGAAATAGCCTAAAATATATATAAAATATAGTAATAAGTACTGTGTAAGGAGATGGGTGATTGCTCATTTAGTTATATCAAGGTTAGAATTAATGAGGGACTTACGTTAAATCAAAACGAGAGAGGAAAAATTTTAAATAATACTCTAAATATTAATGTAAAAATGATACAGTATTAAAGAGGCATTTAAATAAATTTTGAGATTTGACCAAGCTGTTAAAATCTGTCATGTGGAGCTACAGCTAATTAATATCTTATTTATACTTTGATTTATGCAGTTATCTATTATTTTATCCTTAGTAATGAAGAGGGGAAAATATTTCTTAAATAATTGAGCCATTATTTATATGAAATAAAAATTTATTAAATTTTTTTTAATGTAAAAATGGTAGTGTTAACTGAAGTTATGAAGGTGTGGTGATTTTTAAAATAGTTTGTTCCATATGTGCAATCATATGATCTGAAATCCGGACTAGAAATATTAATAATTTACAGTTATTGTTTTAGGAAAATGTTATTTATTCAATCTTGGTAGTAAAAAATATTTTGGAATGTTATTTAATATGTAGAAATTTCATACAATATCATTTCTACTTAAAGTCAGATAAAAATTTTGTAAATATTGTTTAAGATTTATCGTACTTTATTTTTTATAAGTTATTCATTAGCTATCATTTTTATTTTGTGTTTCTTTTAGAGACATGATTTAGGAGTATGTCCGAAAATTCATGATGTTGCCTTGAGAGCTGATTTTGAAAATTCTGCAAGGAAAGAACAGTATACTTTTCATTTAGAGGTAGGTAATATATTCGGTCTACTGGAAAGTTATGTCCGTTTTATGACAACAATTTTCGACACGTAAGCTCATGTTTATGTGCTGTATGTTCGGCTCTTTATTGAGCAAGACCATGTTGGAGCAAGATCCTTTTGTGACAGCATCAGAGATCGCATAAAGGCTTAATTCAGCTCAGCAAACCATTTCGAACCATATTTGGAAGATAGGATTGGTGTGGAAATATTTAAGATGGATACCACATGAATTAAGTCAGAAGAATTTGGGTGACAAAGCCCTTCTTGAACAAATGATAACTGAGAATGAAAAGTGGATCACCCACGGAAACATCGTAAGGGAAAGGGCATATTGTGAACCCAGAAAACCTAGCCCTCCCACCTCTAAACCAAATTTGACCCTGAATAAGGAGAGTGTTGTGTATATGGTGGGGCATCCGAGGACCACTACATTATGAGCTTTTAAAATTGATCGAAAAGCTCAATTCAGAGAAGTACTGTCCGCAATCAGACTAAAGACAACAGTCCAAGAAAAAAGGTGGATGATTTTCAACAGGAAGGACATTGTACTGCATCATGATCAGGCCACATGCTGCTTTAAGGACTCGTAAAAATATTGCAGAACTAGGCTGGGAAATTCTGTCACATACACCATATTCCCCAGACTCAGCACCCTCTGACTATAACTTGATTTTGTCCTTGCAAAATTTTTTGAAGGGCAAAAAATTCAAAAATGAAGTAGATATCGAACAAGCACCAACTCAATTTTTTGGTGACCAGACAAAAGCCCACTGAACGAAAGCACACGCGACAAAAGCTCACAAAAAAGACCCCACTGGGATAATTGCCCATACAACTAATACCCACACCAATGAAAGCGCACATTGATAAAAGTCCTAATAGATATAAGTGCATGCTGATAAAAGCCCACACTGATATATATGCTACGTTAAAATTAATTTTTTCCCCTTTTTTCTTTTTTCTTTACAAAGTAGATTCATGAATAAAGATAAAATGAAAAATAAATTAAATTAATAACAAGTAATTGAACAATAAATTTAAGTAGCGGAACATATTTCATTTTGGGATCCGGCTGAATTAAAATCCTATATGTATATGGAACAGAGAGTCAATCAAAATAATATAATTAAAAACATATACGTGTATGTGTAACTTTGTTTTTATATTTACGCAACAAAGGAAGCGCATTTCAACGAAAAAATAAAAGTACTGTATTTTGTTATGATTAAGAAAACATTTGTGTGTGCTATCACAAGCACTGCCATTTTTAGGCACAAGCATCTGCCTAAAAATAATTCAGCAGGAGTTTTGCTCGTTGTATCATGTTTTGCGGTCCTAAGGGCGAAAGCTAATTCATTGACATAGTTATCCCAGCTTTTATGAAAATTTTTAACATAACTACGGATAATTTTCACTATATTTCTATTGACCCGTTTCGCTATATTTGATTGCGGCTGATACGGGACCATATTTAAATGACGTATGCCCAATTTTTGGCACATGTCTTCAAATATATTACTTACAAATTGAGGACCATTATCCGATATAACTTTAAGGGGCGCCCCGTATTTTAAAATATATTTATTTAAAATAGAATCAGTAGCTAATTTCGCGGAGGCTCGTTTTAAGGGAACAATTTCGGTCCACTTACTAAAATGATCAACCAAAACAAGGAGATACCGACTTTTATTTAACTGACTTTTTGGGAAAGGGCCCAATAAATCGATGCTAATTATTTCATTTGGAAATTCGGATTTAATGCTATTTAGAAACCCAGCCAGGCAGAAATTAATATAATTAACTGCTTGACATGTTGGGCAGGACTGGACATACGCCCTTGTTAACTTTTGCAGTTCATGAAAATAAACTGCTTCACGTACGCGTTGGATGGTTTTTCGAATACCAGCATGAGAAGCTAAATGGGGAGTCGTGGTAACTCCTGCAGGTATATTTAATCTAAGACTAGCTGGGATAACAGGTCGAAATTCGTTGTTGGAATTCATAGTTTTTGTATAAAATAATAGACCATCTATTAGTTCGTAATGGGCCGCCCTATTTCTTATCGCCACAATATCTTGGTGGCTAAAATTTTCAGGATCCTTTAAATACTCATAAATGTTTTTAAACTCAGGATCCTTACCCAGTTCGGTTATTACAGTTTCTCAGGAATGTATCGTACATGCTGTGAGCATTACCACCTTTACAGTATTACCTTCTTCATCTATTTTTATTCTGGATAGGGCATCTGCTACGATATTTTCCTTTCCGGGGATGTGCTTGATTACCAGATTATACTCTTGTAACTTGAGTGCCCATCTTATTAATCTTGGGGATAAGTTTTTCCCTGAGTACAATCTAGTTACCGCCGTATGATCAGAATACACTGTTATTGGCGCCCTTCCAAAATAGACTCGGAACTTTTGCACTACTAATAGAACTGCAAGTGCCTCTCTCTCAGTCGCGGAATAATTTCTTTGTGTTTGATTTAAATTTTGACTAAAAAATGCCATGGGCTGCTGATTTTGCGAAAGTACCACTCCTACCGCATAATCCGAAGCATCTGCTGAAATTTCTAAATTTTCATCATTTTCAGGAAATTTCAAAACAGGGGCTTGCGTTAATGCTTGCTTTAATTTTTCGAAAGCACTATTGGCTTCGGCCGTCCACTAGAATCTTGCCTTTTTCCTTTTTAATTTTAACAATGGTTCAGCAATAGCTGCAAAATCTTTTATAAAGGACCTATAATATGAACAAAGTCCTAGAAAAGAAGAGAGCTTCTTCGCCGTATTTGGCGGCGGATACTTTTGCACAGTGAATATTTTTGATTCGTCTGTCTCGATTCCTTTCTGAGATATTTTGTAATCTAAGTATTTTAATTCAGGGGCTGCAAATTTGCACTTTTCGACATTAACTTTTAGACCGGCCTCATATAATAATGAAAACACCTGTCTTAAATTTTGTACATGTTGGTCCAGATTATCACTAGTAATAATGATATTGTCTAAATAGATAAATGTGGTCTTTCCAAGAACAGGCCTTAGCACAATGTCCATACATCGCTGAAATGTTGCCAGTGCCCCTGAAAGGCCAAACGGCATACGCAAGAATTCATAAGTGCCAGACTTGGTTATAAAAGCAGTCTTAGGCACATCTTCCGGTTTAACGCCTATTTGAAAATAACCAGTCATTAAGTCTAAAGTAGTCATATATTTGGTAGAAGTTATGTTCCTTAGAATTTCTTCAATAATAGGTAACGGATATACTGGATATTTAGTCATGGAGTTTAATTTACGATAGTCAATTGCAAAACGCCACCTTTTCGGATGTGTTACCGGATAGTCGTTATTTTTCTTACATAACACAACCGGGCTAGCATAACTACTTGAGATGGGCGTTATGATCTTTTTACGTAACATATCTCGAATGTGCCACTTTATAATTTTTTCTTTATTCTTATCATATCGATATGGTTTGTGGCGAACTGGCAGTGAATCTGCGGTGTCGATACTATGGTTAGTAACTTGAGTAAATCCGGGAATATCACTAAACAACGAAGCAAATTTACTTACCACTTGTCGAATTTTTTGTTGCTCTTCCTTAGGCAGGTGGTCGAGGTTTAACGTCGGTGGTTTTGTTTTTTCTTCTCGAACTGGTTTCATCGTCAGCTTAAGGGACGCTTCGTTAAAATCCAGCGTTGCTTCTGCCTCTGAAAGAAAATCTATCCCTAAAATGGTATGTGCTTGTAAATTTTTTACGATAAAAAACATAATCTTTACTTGCTCGTCCTTGATACGAATGTATAACAGTAATTTACCTATGCACTTGCATCTTTCTCCCTGCGCAGCTAACACTGTCGTATTATCCGAATTATATATGCAGTATTTACGGAAATACTTCCTAAAATAATCTTCTGCCACACAGGAACACTTCGCGCCTGTATCCAGGAGTGCAGTGGCTGGGATGTTATTCACCAGACTTTTTTTCTGGCTTACTATTGAACTGTCGACGTTTGCCGGTTGTTTTTGGATACTCGGGTTTCCTTGCCTACTGATTTGCTTTGCTTCCGTAGCCGTGTTCTTGACTTTGCTGTGGTCTTGGCGCACCAAATTGGCTTCGTTGCTCATACTTGCGTCTCCTTTCAATGTTGACCGTTCTTCTACTTTCAAACTGGATTGCTAGCTCAAATAACTTTTCCAGTGTAGTCGGATTCCTTAATTCAATAAAGTCTTGTACTTGGGGAAGTAACCTCGGCAAAATCACTTGGATTATCTCAGGATCCGGACGGTTTCCATACAAGAGTTTAAAGACGTGAATTTTTCTTAAAATAAAGGCTTGGAAAGATTTTCGATTCGTTGCTGTGTGTTGGTATATGCTGAAGAGTTCCGTTTCTAATTCTTGCACGATCTCTTACGACAGGAAGGGAAGGCTTTTACTAAGGCAGTCTTAAAATTTTCGTAAGTATAGGTGGGACTTCCCGCTTGACCCAAGAGGCTTCTGCCTATACATTTGAACCAATTAAGCGCTTGGCCCCTCAAAGCGCTGGTAGCTAAGGTGACTTTCTGGAACTCATGTACTGGATACAGCATGAAGTGGTCATTCAATTTTTCCAAAAAACTGGTTACCGGTGAGTTTCCATTAAATGTTGCTTCTGGTTTTATCAATGCACGCATGGTCTGTACGATGTACCCAAATCCTTCCAGGGCGGCAGCTGGCATTTCTGGATTCTGAGCTGCTTCTGTAGGCACCACAGGTTCTTCTTGAAACTCGGCCATGGTTATTCCTCTTCGTTGGGCGCCACTATCAGGACTTGTGTTCCACCTTACTTGCTTTGGGAACTGTCCTGATTCGGAACAGGGAGCTTACTGAAGTTATGTTCAATAAATTGTGAAGTAGACAATACACACAGGAAGGGTATACGAAACCCTTTATTTTTCTCTCTTTACAATGATTTCCGGAACTTCGGAATACAGAGACCAACCACTTGTG